GCCTGGGCAGAAGACAGGCTCTCAGTGAATTCGAGGAGGCTGTGGCCGCTGGCTCATTTGCATCATAAGTGATTGGTTTTCCCTGCTCGTCCCTCATTAGGACACAATGGACAGTTGTTTGCTGGTGCAGCAGATCCATTTACCAAGCTGGAGGGGAGACAGCAGCGCAAGTGACTGATGAGTGACAGTGTTAAGGGGCCACCCAACTCCCCTCCTGGCTGCTGGCACTCTTGTTCTCACACAATGGGAAGAGGCCATGGAAAGGAAACCAACCCCTCATTTTCCAGATGAGGAGATTGAGGTGTTAAGAATGACTGAGGCTTCTGAGGCCAAACAGTGAGTTCATGGTAGAACTGGGCCTTCGAGAGAAACTAGAGCCTACACTCTAGATGTGAACTTCTGGTGTTGGGAGCTTTTGATTCTGTTTCTCTGTCGTCTTTCTTGTTACGTGTCTTCATTTCCATTGTCCTCTCTCCCTTGACTGTCTATCTCATTTCCTACTTCTCTGCCCCTGCCCTCTCATCTCTGTACTTTTTCCTCTTGGTTTCCAGGCAGCCAGCATAATTACCAAACTTCTAATTAATCCCTGCCCTAACAGAGGTGCATCTAGCAGGCGAGGTAGCAATTTGGAAACTGTCTCAGTGTATTTGGGTGATATGTAGGGAAAGGACTAATATGGGTTGAACCCTATTATAAAAGCAGGCACTGAGACACGGTTCCTTCAGCCTTGCATAGTAGGTGTTCATAGGGACACGGACACGGAGACTGGAGCTCAGAGAAGTTAAGTCAGGCAAGAACACCCAGCTGGCAAATCAGTTGTGTTTCTCCAAAACCTCATACCCTGACCCAGGAGCTAGAGCAGGATAGGTGGTCTGGTGGTCACTGCTTTGTAATGTCGCTCTCCTCTAGGCAGCAACTGTCTCCTTGCTCCCCTCTGGTTCCCACCCTCTTCTGAGTCCTTCTTTTGGGGTGGTGGGGTGAACTCATAGGAAGCCCAGACCACATCCCCTCCCAACTCCCAGTCTACTTCTTTGCGTGTCGGTGTCAGGCCTGCGTCTGTTTTATTGTCTCGGGGAAGGGGAAAGTCTAGGGTGAGTGGGCTGCGTCTGTGTGCTCGAACATAAGGCCTCTGGGTTCATTCTAACACTGAATGAGAAACTCACCAATTATTCCTGGGATCTCATTAATATGCAGACAGACAGCTGTTATTTGGGAGTCAATAGCAGAGGCCTTTTCTTGGGGGGAGGGGTGTGCTTATCTAGTGACTCTCCATGACTTTCCTTTAGTCTCTCCGGCTGTGGGGGCGGGGAGCTGCTTGGGAATCACCCCACCCCTCAGGGGCCTGGGGCCTCCCCTTTCTCTGACCTTCCCCTCCAGCCTTGACAAGAGGGAGTAGGGGATGGACTAGAGATGGAGGGAGAGCTGGGGACCCAGCTGGAGGGAGGGAGGCAAGCAGGAGGGGCTACACTGTGCAAAGGAAAGCCCTTTGTTAGCCAGAGGAAAGATGGCACTTAGAAGAGTTGAACCCCTTTCTGGGAAGGAGAGGTGGAGTCAAGGGAGAGACCTGTCCCAGGATTGCCTGCCTGGGTTCAAGGCACATGACCCCCTTCCTCTACCTCCTCAGCCTGTAAAACCTGAGCCTGAGGAATCAGTCAGGTCTGAGTGTTGTATCTAGGGTGGGGTCACTATGGCAACGTGGGGTCCTCACCCAGAGACCTCAGAAAAGGCAATGGGGAATGTTCATAAACATGGGGACCAAACGACCTCAGCTTCTGGATGAATCACTAAAGCTCTCTCCAGCCCCCTGGGTAAGTGTGGAGACACAGCAGTCTCCCCTTCCTGTCTCTGGCCTTCTTCCCACCTTTGAATCCCAGCACAAAACACACTCTCCAAGAAGCCTGGCTCTCTCTCTGCCAGCTCAAGAGCCTGCAAGCCTGGGTGTCTTGATGGTGAAGAAAAAGGGCTGCTATCAGTTCAGCCCCTTTCAAAGGGTCAGTGTTTGTTTCTACATCAATTCTCCTCTGAATCTTCCTAATTGTGGTGATCAGCCTCTTTTTCCAGGTTATCAAAACTGAGTTCAAACAGGTGGAGGGCCTTCACCAAAAACTTCCCAGGGAGGAAGCAGCAGAGCTAGGACCCAAACCCTTGGATCTCTGCCTCCAAATTTCAAGCTGTCCCCATGACTGGCCCTCTGGGGAAGCTGAAGTCACAAGGGGACAGCCCTGTGTCTGCTGAAGTGTTTCAGGGGTGAGACCTAGTCCCTCCTTGTCCCTTCTGCCCTCTCCCTCCTCCCTTCTGGGCTGGCTGATTGCAGAGGTTAAGAAACACTGGCAGCATGACAGCGTGATTACTTGCTTATTTCATTAAATGATTAACGAGGCTACATTGTTTCCCAAACGGGTGTCTAATTTGTGGGGGAAACAGCTGCAGAGGAGGAAGCTGGGTCTGACTCCAGCATAGCATTGGAGGGCAGGGGTGAGAGTAAGAGCTCCCTCACTCCAGCCTGCTTTGGAGGACCCAGAAGAGCCCTATTGCTCCCTCCCACCCACCCACAGGGCTCCTCAGCCCAGAGGCACAACTCCCTCCCTAGAAAAGAAAACCATCTGACCACCCAGACTTGCAGAGAGGACCCAGATCTGTTCCCAGTGGAAATGGAAATGTATTAAACTTTGGGGGGTTCCTCCTGCTGACTTATATTCCTAATTATGTTTGCTTTAGGCAGATTCTGAAATGCTGAAATACCCTTGCAATGGCAGGGAAGGGAGGTTGGGAGAAGAGATGCTAACTTAGGCAGTTGTAGGTTTGAGCCTGCATAGTTCCCAAGAAGTTCAAAGTGGAGAGGTCACAGGGATTGGCCTAAAATCCCAACTCCCTGGTATCAGCAGGTCCCTGTGGGGAAAGGGTCAGCCCTGTGGGACTAGGACACCCACTTAGCTATGTCTCAGGGTCAGTGGGGATGGTCTCAGGTTGCTGGGGTGGAGTTGCAGGGTTAAGACCCAGTGCTCTCATAATCTTCAGGGAGACTTGCTGAGAAGAACCAGGATAGAAGTCCACATAGGAGGAGGAGGGGGGGAAGGGACTTCTAATGGGACTTCTAGTGGGTGTGAATTTCCTTTCCTCTCAAGACTAAACACCCCCCCCCAACTCCCCCTGCAAAGTGAGAGAAGCTATTTAAAATAGCACATCTCAGAACCAAGTCCTCCAACCTCCAACACCCCATCCAGGTAACTGTGTATCCAAAAAACAAATCTGATCACTTCTTACCCTGTTTGAAAGCCCCGGTGGTTCCTCTCAGCCTCAGAATGAAGTACTGAATTTCTCTGAGGGTCCTGCAGGGGCCTCAGGGTACCTCCCCAGCCTGATCTCCTGCCCTCCCAGCCCCAACCCCTGTGACACCATGCTCTTCCTCATTTCCACGTGTTTGTACATACTGAACCCTCTGTCTCCTCTTCAACCTTCACACCTGACTCACTCCGAGGGAGGGATGCTCTCCTGCAAGCCCCTGCACCTACATCCCTCCACCAAGGCGCCTCCAGCCCTGGGGAACCTCTGTTTCTGTGGTGCTGACCTCCAGAAGCTCAGAGATGAGGAGTCCTTTCTGTCTCCCCAGCCGCTGTCTGGCACCAAGTAAGTACTCAGAGCATATCTGCTGAATGAATGAGGTGGGGTGGGCTGTGAATTAGGGTGAGATCCCAGCAGATGGGAGGCTAAGGATTATTCCCTCCCAGAGTGTGTCTGAAAGAACTGGGGGGCGGGGGCTAGAGGAGGGGGCAGCCTGGGATGGTTCCTGGGGGAGAATGTCACCGAAAAGAGGCCAGTGGGACTAACGCCAGGGAGGGAATACAGGACAATCTGAAACCAGACTCCTGAGAAAACAGACCATCACTGTCCTTCCTGACAACAAGCGCTGTGGCCGTTCCCTCCACCAGCTTTCCTTCTTTAGGGGGTGGGGGTAACCCTCAACTCACAGCTAATACTGCCCCCAAAATCCTCAAGGAGCTCAGAATAGAAGGAGGACTATAGTCCTTGCTCCAGCCTCCCAGGAAACTCCAGAATCAAACTCCCATGCCCTTGGGAAACTTCACCCCACTGAGAGCCACCACACAACCCCAGGTCCCTAGCAGGCTCCTTGGGGGGTGGATGGTGGTGTGTGTGTGTGTGTGTGTGTGAAGATGGTGAGCAAGGGGCCTGGCCCACTTTAGCAGGGGACCCAGCTGGGCTGAGTAACCTTGAGTAATTGCACATCAATCTACACAAAAGCCCCCTAAGGGCCTTAGGATTGTCCAGTTCACTAACTAGGAGATACATCCTCCGAAATATCTCATTCCCCCAGACCTCTGGTTTCTAAAAGAACATGGCTGAAAGAACCCATGGCTTTTCCTCTGCTGCATCTGTGTATGCAGACGGAGAAAGTTCTTCCTAAGGTCTAACTCTCCTTCCTGTTTCTAGAGACGGGTTTATTTTGAAAAAACAAAATTAAAGCCACAGCCATTTTCCATGGACATGGGTTTTATTGGGGACTTTGGGAGAAGGGAGGGAGGCAGACAGACAGACGGGGAGGGGCTTCTTCTTGCTTTTTAATTTAGTGCATGTTGCCTGGAGGTTAGGATGGCTGAGGTTAGGGTAAGTGAGAGGAGTGGAACAGAGACCATAGGATGAACTCTCCTTAGGGAAGGAAGCTAGGACCAGGATATGGGAGCTGGGGAAGGGGAGGGAAGGCACTCTTCATTTACTGAGACTCAACCAAGATCACTACTTGATGTCAGCTGCCCCATCCTAGCTCATGCCCCAGATACCTGTCCCTGGAACCCCCTTAACTTCCTATAGAGAAGAAGGACAAGGAAGGAAACAGGGAAGGGTGACACCTTTGCCCTCCAGCCCCTTTCCCAAGAGAGATTTGCCCATAGGCCCTGCCCTGCCCCTCTAGCCAGGGTCAGGAAGGGTAGGAAGTCCAGGTACCAGCAAGTGAACAATTGTGTCTGTCAGGGCCACCCCACCCCTCACATGAGGTTGCAGCTTTTGGCTCGATCCTTGTGTATCTCGCCCTCAGTTCCTCGGTCTGGTCGTCCTGACAGCTGAGTGGATCGCTGTAGTCCCCGGCGTGAGTCAGTACGACGCAGCTGCCTATGCCCACGGCCAAGGGACGCCACTGTGGCGACATGGAAAACATCCCTGACGCTGCGCTCAGAGGATCTGGAGGAACACTCAACATAGGACACGGCCCCCACCTGCTTGGCCAGCACACTGCCCTGGAAGAGAAGTTTGTGGGAGATAGTTAGGGGCTTAGCTTGTAATCTTAGTAAGGGACTTGGTAACTGTAGGCTGGGTAGGGGCTGAAGATGGGCAGTCAAGAGGCTACAGCAGCGAAAGAGCCTAGTAGGATGTTTTCAAGTCAGAAATTGAGGTCTAGGCAGGGATCAGGTTGGAGGGCAAGGGTCCCACCTGCTCATGTGTCACAGGGATAAGCCTCTGCTTGGACAGCTCCCTCAGTGTGGCCAGGTCAGTCCGCATGTCCAGTTTACAGCCAACCAGCACAACCTTGGCATTGGGGCAAAACTCCTGAGTCTCCCCCTGCCACTATTTGGGGGGAAAAAATAAGAGTTATGGAGAGGTAGAGAGAGACCCATGGTAAAGAGCTCTTGCTCCAGGCTGGGAAGACACCCGTCCCCCCAGCAGGCAGAAATCCTGCACCACTGCGGAGTCTCCCTTGTGAGGAGAGGTGGGAATGGCAGGCTTGGGTTGAAAGCAGACTAGGGTATGCAGAAGGGGAGGAAGAAGAGGACTGGAGTGGGCTGTAGGGTTAGGGCTCTGCTTCTTCCTCAGTACTATAAACATCTACCAACCCTGAACCTTCTGACTCCCACCCCCTTTCCCAAACTCTTGCCTGGGAACAAACCAATCCTGTCTGCCCTCCCCTCCTAGGCCTGGGAACCTGGGCTGTCCTAGCTGACTTTTTGTCCATTCACTACGGGCTTTTCTCATGGAAATAGAGGCTTGGAGAGGAGGCCTAGGGGCTTTCCAGAGTTCCAGGATCAACATTCCCACCTCCTGTATCTGGGGACTCCACACCCAAGGAGATGCTCCCTCCCAAGCACTGGGGCTGGCTCTGGGGACTTATTTCCTAAGAATTTCACACACGTCCAGATGATGCCCATGCCCACATTGTCAGTACTCTGGTGCCCAATCCCCTTTAATCTAGCTATCCTGCCTCTACCCCCGGGCTCTCCCACCTTCTTGAGGACACTATCCAGTGTTTCTGGTCGGCTAATGTCAAAGCAGATGAGCACAGCATCCGAATCAGGATAAGCCAGAGGCCGGACATTATCATAGTAAGAAGAACCTGAAGGAAAACCGGGAAGAAGGGGACAGAATTCAGTCCTGAGAGGGTGAGGGACCTTAGGAATCCTGGCCAAGGGTTGTGGGGAGTAGAACAGTCAGTAATTTGCATAAACTAGTCTGTGTTTCTGCAAGGAAGTGGAGCAGTGGAGGTAAGCAGGCAGGCAGGGAGGGAGGTTAGATGGCAGGAAGAACTTCCTGTCAGAGACCAACACAGCTCTGCTTCCCTAGGAGTTTCTCTGAGAGTAGTGATCCTTAACCTTTCCTAAGTCTTGGACCCCTTTAAGAAGTTCATGAAATCAATCCACATTCTCAACAGTTTTGCGAGTCTGGCCTCTGAAAGGCATCTTCAATCCTCCAGGGAACTCCAGTTTTGTTTTTTTTAAAAAAACCTCCCCACTTTGCAGGGGAGAGTTCATCCATCTTTTCAGTTCTGTTTCTCATTCCCTGTCACTGAGAGTCTCCGGTTCCCTCTCCATCCACCCCCTCAAAGAAATTCTAAATGTCTTTCTTAAACCTAGTCTTAAGAAACATGTTCCCAACCAAAAGTCATCTCTTCCCAACTTTCCAAGATAGGGGAACTGGGAAAGCTGAGGGGCTCAGAGAGTGGGCTTTCTCAGCAAGTTCTGCCTCAGTTTCCCTGCCTTTAAGCAGAACATTGATTCTCCTTCCTCCTAGAATTGAATGGATGGTCTGGGCTAACGTGGAACCTAAGGATCCAGTTAGGGGAGAGGTCAGGGCAGGGCCTTCGAAGTAGGGATGACCCCGAGGGACTTTACTACCTGAAGTGTCCCACATGTTGAGTTCAATGCGACGCTTGTCTATTTCAAAGCTCGCTGTGTAGTTCTCAAACACGGTGGGGACGTAACTCTGCAGACGCAACGGGGATGGGTCAAGATGAGATCCTGTCCCCAGTCACAACCCAGGCAAATGTCCTCCCCACTCCCACACCCAAGTTGGTCTGGGGTTGGATAAAGATGAGATCGTGGGAGCTGCTGCCTCCTGAGAATCACTGCCAGGTTCGCAGACCCTCCTGGTCCCTTCATCCTCTAGTTCTTCCCCTCTTCATGCCCAGGACCCCCCACATTTCCCCAGCGTCCTACTGAATCCTCTAATTCTCCCAAACCCCATTCCATATCACCCTGCTCCCCAGTTCCTCCCACCCCATCCTCTGCAGTCCTTTCAAAGCTCCCAAAGCCTCTCGTGGTTTTCTGAGCCCCTCTCCCTCTTCCCTGGCTACCCCGGCACTCGTTTCCATCTATCCCCCGGGTCCTTGTCACCCACCCCCGCGCCCTCAGCGCTCTCCTCTCATGCCTCGAGTCCCTCACCCCGGGATAAGCGTCCTTGGCGAACACCTGCAGCAGTGCCGTCTTGCCGCACTCCGCGTCGCCCACCACCACGATCTTGCAGCGGCCGCTCTGCCCCTCCATGGTCCCGGCTACGCGCCGGCCCCCCGCGCCGCCCCCC